TATTATGTATTATATATTATATATTTTCGTGAGGAATGGATTTTCGTCGTGTGGATATGTGGAGGAAGATGTTTTCTGACGGATGCGGTTTGGCGACACCCTTTTCATCAATAATTCCTAATACAAGGCCTATTTGCAAACAGGCTGCAAGCTGCGACGAATCCGTTAGCACGCTCGATCGTTTCCCCAAATCTCGCCAATAATGGTAATGCCTGAATGGAACCATTATGTCGCGCGTATATGACTGTGTGCACAGCGCGACAGACGTTCCGTAAAGGTGTCGGAAATTTTGGGGGGATTCAATCAGTTTTTGCAGCCAGTAACTACCCCCAGTCAGCCGGGTGACCATTACGAAAACAGAAAATCACTCACGTTCTTCATTTTCGATTATTAAATCAAATTCAGCAAATTTCACATACAAAATCTGTCTTTTGTTTAAACAATTATTAAATATATGTAATTAATTTAAATATCGACGACTAGGTGGCCATTTTTTATTTATTTTAAACAGACTTGATGGACGAGGGATTTTTTACAGGCCATAAACGTCGCTGGGTTCGAAGCGCAGTGATTTCGCTTTGATCGACCTCTCGCTGGGTCGTTTCCGTCGAGTGCACATATCGATCGGTCTCGGGGCCCTTATTGTGCCGGGGCGCTGGTCTGTACGGTGACATACTGGTGGCTGACAGAGGTGCACCCCTGCGGAGCGCGTTCGGCGCGCAGGGGTGACGGCCACCGTAGCACAGGAGTACCAGAAAAGGGGAGACCGGTTTTCCTAATTCACGAAAATTCGTGAAATTACCTTGACCGATCGACGAACGGTTGATCGAAGATTAATACCAACGTCACTCGACGTTCTTTTGATAAAATAATTCATCCAGATGGTCGTTGGTCAATTTCCAAATTGACGAAAATTAAACATTATATAATATAACGTCAATTATTATAAAATATTCTATTAAATATAATAAATATATAAATTATTATAATATATATGTAATTTATATTGTATAT